TTTGAAATGCACTCATCATTACCAATTCATTATCACATAGAAATGTAAAAATATCATTGTACATCCCCTTTAAGTTAGCCCTCTTAGAACATCTGTACAGAAGATGGGATAAAACCTTACACACAGAGAAGAGAGGCACAAGAAAAGGCAGCAGAGAGAGAGAAAGAACAATGAAAAATAATAGCAAGAAAAACCTCCTTCAAAAGGCCAAAATACCAGAATTTATGTGAGCACTGAAAAAGGACCAGACTATAGATAAGATAAGATAAGATAAGATAAGATAAGATAAGCCTTAAGATAGGGACTTTATTGGAAGTAACAGAGTGATTTCTTCCTGAAAAACATCATTTATTTGATAAGAAATGGCCTCCTTCTACCCTTTGTTGATTTTCTGTTCCCAGGGAGATTTCAGTGTTTTTCTGTGCCTATAGAAGACAGGGTTCTAATCTGTAGATATCTGTACATAGACATGAAGATTTGAGTTCTGTGCAAATTATTATATTTGTCTTGTTTAATCTTGCTGTCTGGTTATTACTTTATTACCAAGTTGTGCAAGAGAAACAAAGAAAACATAATATGTGACATTCAGTTTTCCTGGCTGATCAGGGGCATATGATAAATATTCATTTTTAGCAATTAGTTTGCACAAGAGGATGCTGTAAGGGACCTGCATGCAAGGGCCTGTCAGGGCATTTCTGAGAGGGAAACGTGTCTTAGACACTGGTAATTATGAAATCAAGTTCCGTGCAAAAATTATTTCCAAAATGATTTGACTTCATTTGCAGTCTAACAGCTTTTGCAAGAGAGTCTACCTGTCTAAAAAGAGCTGAAAGACTGTTAACTAAAGAAAAGCCGACTCACTATGTTTGAAATAGAGAGAGCTCAGTAATGCTGTTAACATCAATGAAATCAATTCACCAGCAGCCACCCAGATGAATGTATGTGGTAATGTTCCTGAAAAAAAAACATTCAGTGAAAGTGAGAACACACTCAAGTCAATCAAAACATTTACTTTTTTGAATAAACATCTTTCTTCTTCCAAATATATTAACATTTGTTCTAAGTAAATGCATATTAGATGAGAAATAAACTCCATTAAAACGGCTCGCAGGAGAACTGGAGCAAGCAATGAGTGCAA